ATACATACATACACATATATACTGTTGCTTGTTGTTATAGTATATCGCTACTCAATAGTAAATTCTGACTCATAGTAACTCTGCATAGGATTTCCCAAGAGTGGCTGGTGGAGTTGAACCTCTGACCTGATGGTTAGCATATATACTCAGCTTATACATACATACACATGTATATGTATATTGTTAAGAAGTCCTGGTGTTTCACTGTGGGTTAAAACGCTGGGCTGCAAAGTTTGGTTTGAACTGCAAGGTTTGAACCACCATTCCTCAGAAACCCTATATAGGGTCGCTGTGGGTCAGATTCAACTCAACAGCACTTAACAACAACAACATTAAATACGGTTAATAAAATTTCTTTAAGCATGCTATTGAGTTCTGAGCATATTTGAAGTCACAAATAAGTAGTAAACAGTGTAAATACTGTTTTGTAGGGACCCATCAAATGTTGTAATGTTAGAAAGGATCATCACAATTAAACAGCTGATTGTTGTTGTTAGGTTCAGTCTAGTCAGTTCCAACTCATAGTGATCCTATACACAGAACAAAACACTGGCCAGTCCTGTGCCATCCTTCACAATTAGTATATTTAAACCCATTGCTGCTGCCACTGTGTCAATCCATCTCTTTGGGGGCCTTCCTCTTTTTTAAGGACCCTCCATTTTGCCAAGCATTATGTACTCCTCCTGGGATTGGTCCCTCGTGATAACATGTCCTAAGTATGAGAGATGAAGTCTCACCATCTTGGTTCCCAAGGCACATTTAGCTGTACTTCCTCTAAGACAGATTGAGTTGTTCTTCTGGCAGTCCATGGTACTTTGAATATTCTTCTTCAACACTATAATTTAAATACATCAATTCTTCTACAGGCTTCCTTACTCATTGTCCAACTTTCACGTGCATATGATGTGACAGAAAATACCATGACTTTGATCAGGCGCACCTTAGTCTTAACACTGATAGCTTTTGAACACTTTAAAGAGGTCTTTTGAGATGGATTTGCCTAATGCAATTATGCCCTTGGATTTCTTGACGGATGTTTCCAGGTTATTTATTATGGTTGCAAACAAAAGTAAGTATTTGACACCTTCAATCTTTTCTCTTTTTATCATGATGTAATTTATGGTCTAGTCGTGAAGATTTTTGTTTTCTTTACATTAAGGCACAATATATACTAAATACTGTAGTCTTTGATTTTCATCAGTAATTATTTTAAGCCCTCTTTGCTTAAAAAGCAAGCAAGGTTGTATCATCTGCATATCACAGGTTGCTAACAAGTCTTCCTCCAATTCTGATGCCATGTTCTTCTTTATATAATCCAGCTTCTCAGATTGTTTTCTCAGCATACAGATTGAATAAGCATGGTAAAATGCTACAACACTGCCGCACACCTTTCCTGATTTAAAATTATTCAATATCCCCTTGTCCTTTTCGAATGAGTGTCTCTTGGTCTATGTACACGTTCCTCATAAGCACAATTAAGTATAATGTTATCCAGAGTTTGTCATAATCCACACAGTTGAAAGCTTTTGCATAGTCAAAAAAGCACAAGTAAACATCTTTTGGGTATTATCTGCTTTCAGCCAAGATCCATCTGACATCAGCAATAATGTCTCTCATTCCACATACTCTTCTGAATCTAGGTTGAATTTCTGGAAGTTCCCTGTCCATGTACTTTTACAGTCATTTTAAAAATACCTTCAACAAAATTTTAGTTGCATGTGATATTAATGATATTGTTCTATGATTTCTGTATTCCATTGGGTCACCTCTCTTTGGAATGCCTAGGATATCGATCTTTATGGGTTCCATTTCATTTTTGACAACTTCCAATTTTCCTAGATTCATACTTCATACATTCCATGTTCTGATTATGTTTGCAGCTGTTTCCCTTCATTTTGAGTTGTGCTCTATCAGCAAAGGTCCCAAGACTTTTCTGCATTCACATCATTATGGTTAACTCTGTTTTAAGGTGGAACTCTTCCCCAGTCACATTTTGAATGCCTTCCAACTTGAGGTGCTCATCTTCCACCACAATAGTTCATAATGTTCTGCTATTCATAGGGTTTCAGTGGGTAACTATTCAGACATTGTCTGCTTCTCCTTCTTCCTAGTCATCATGTTCTGGAAGCTCTGCTGACACCTGTACATCATGGTGACATTCCTTGCATTTGAAATACCAGTAGCATATTTCCAGCATCACAGCAACATGTAAGCCACCCCACAGTATGACAAACTGACAGATGTATGTTGGGTTGAAAAACAGTATTTTAAAAGGCAGGCCCAAAAAACAGCCAAATGTCTCTTCAGTTAACAAACAAAATGATTATATCTCTCATTATTGGTATTACCCAAACTTATTAGACACCTGCGGTGTAGGCAGACCTTTGCTAGCATTCACATTAATAATTTAGATATTTTTAAAATGAATAAGAAGGAAAAGAAATGCCTCCTTGCTTAAAGATAAAAGATGCAGAATTTGGTGCCGCCTATTCTTGTCTATGCATAACCCTTATGAGGTTTCTGCTGATTATGTTATGTTCCACAGGTTCAGAAATAGGTCCCCCATAGAGATACTGTGTACCATGAGAAATGTTGTTGTTGTTAGGTGTTATTGAGTTGCTTCTGACTCACAACATCCCTATGTCCAACAGAACAAAACCCTGCCCTATCCTGCACCATTCTCACAGTCTATTCCTATGTTTGATGCCAATGTTGTAGCCACTCTGTCGATCCATATCATTGAGGGTCTTCCACTTTTTTGCTACTTTACACCTAGCATGATGTCCTTCTCCAGGAACATGTTTCTGCTGATAACATGTACAAAGTACATGAGACTAAATCTGGCCATCTTTGTTTCTAAGGAGCATTCTGAATGTACTTTTTCCAACACAGATTTGAGTGTTCTATTGGCAATCCAAAGCATGTTTAATATTCTTCACCAATGCCATAATCCAAATGCATGAATTCTTTCTTCAGTAACCCATTGTGGCAGCTAAGAGTGTCACCACCCCTCACACACTTCCTTCCATAATGGACCATAGAGTAAAGTAGACTGTCAATTTTCATCATAGACTAATATGCAATAAATACAGTTACAACTTGCTTAGATATAATATTTCTTAGACTATGAGGATCAACAATAAAACGGTTTTGTAAAATCTTTCTACATTTAATTACATTATTAGTTACAACATTAGTAACCGAGCAGAAGCCCTTTTTCATTTTTCTCCTCCTTTTCCTATAATTACTACTTCAGTCTCTAGAAAGTTATTGGTATAGTTTCACATACGCTACTTACCACAATATCATAGATAAAACATCAGATATTTTGACAAAATCAGCAGCTATAAAATCACCAGCAGCAATGAAAGCTACAATGTTTGCCTACAGTGTGTGTAGACTAAGAGTCACTGTATTTTGATTCTAAGT